CCCACTTAAAAGGTATTAGATTAGTGACATCCGTCTTGCCACATCAAGATTTATAAATAAGTCAGTGAGGGCTAAATTTTATGGGCTTCATCTACAAAGACCCTTCTAACGTTAGGAATTGTTGGGAGTTTGAGAGTGTCCTAGGGGCAGAGCCAGACAATAAATTGGAATCACTTGGGTAAGCATTTCAGATACTTTTCTAAATGACAGTTCAGAAGAAATGAACCCAACTCTACAAATTTCCAGTAATTTGTTGAAACATATTTTACTCTAAATAGATAGCCCCTTTTATGAGGAAATTTCGGTTTATAATTGTGTACTCTTTGTCTTAAAGAGAGCTCCTAAAATTATAAGCTTTGGGCCCAAGAAACAGGGATTCACTCCTGCATATGAACTTTATATCATGTTTCTTAACTCAAAAAAATGAGTCATTCGAACAAGATTGTTTCTCCCAAAAACATGCAAAGACTTGTCAGTTAGTTATTGGCTTAATTGTCCTGAAACTCACTCAGCTACGATGAACACCTCTTTTTCTGTTAGAGAGACAGATCTTGATAACACAACCGAGTTTATTCCAGAAGGCCCACTCTGGCTTCTCCAGTAGATTCAGACCAGCGCTAAGGCATTCAGCATCCCCTGTCATTCTAGAGTGGGACAGGAGCCACCACCCAGGCACAGAAGGCCTTGTCACTACCTACGGCTGGTTTGGGGCCAGTGGAGACTGCTGCCTCTCGCCTGCAGCGCTACTTAAACCTGGTTCCGCTTCAGTCATTTTTATCTTATTACCAGAGTCACACAATTCAATTATTAGAACATACGAAAAATTGACTCACGGTTTTGCATGGCACTGCTAGGCTTCTGGTGGGGCCTCAGGAACCTACAATCATGGTGAAAGGGAAAGGAGAGAGAAGGTGCCAGGCTCTTTTATTTTTTATTTTTATTATTTATTTTAAAGATGTAGGGTACAGTTCAGGGTTAGGTATACAAATGTTCATTATGCAAATTCCCTTGTTGATGAGGGTGTGTACCCCCCCCAGCAGAATCCCACTACTTCCAATCCTGCCCACTCCCACCCCTGGCAATTTCCCACTACTGACAATTCTTTTCTTGTAGGATTACAATAATTGTTCAAAGTTCACTTATGAGTAAGAACATGTGATACTCAGTTCTTTGTTTCTGTGATAGATCACTCAGTAGTATAGACTCTAAGTCCATCCAAGTTGCTGTGAAGTTCATAATTTTGTCCTGCTTTATGGCTGTGTAATATTCCATCGTGTATATGTACCACATTTTAAAAAACCCAGTCCTCTTTTGATGGGCAGCATGGTTGGTTCCATGTTTTTGCTATTGTGAACAATGCTGCAATAAACATATGTGTGCAGGTATCTTTTTCATAGAGTGATGTGAGTTCCTCTGGGTATATTCCCAATAGGGGGATTGTGGGGTAGTATGGATGGTTGATTTTTAGATCTTTTAGGAATCACCAAATTGTTTTCCACAGAGGTTGTATTAGTTGACACTGCCACCAACAGTGTAGAAGTGTTCCCTTTTCCCTGCATCCTCTGCTAGGCTCTTTTAAATAACTACCTCTTGCATTAGAAGGCTGGTTCCCTCTCATGTCCATATTCTGTCCAATTCCTGCTGGCATCTATTTCTGATAGCCACTATTACAAGTCTCTGGGTAGTCCTCTTAGATTTTCTGTATGCTTTTATGATTTTGAATTTGATTTCTGCTTTTCATTGTCTGATATTCTTTTCCCATTCTTTAATTTAAAATGTCTTGAATCACCTTATTTTAGATGTGTGTTAAGTTTTGCTTTTGGTCAAAATTTTTTTTTTTTTTTTGAGTTGGAGTCACACTCTGTCGCCCAGACTGGAGTGCAGTGGCCGCTCCCGGCCACCGCAGCCTCGACCTGCTGGGCTCTGGCGATCCTTCCGCCTCAGCCTTCCAAGTAGCTGGAATTACAGGCATGCGCTACCACGCCCGGCTGATTTTTTGATTTATTGTAAAGATGAAGTCTCGCTGCCCAGGTGGGTCTCGAACCCGCGGGCTCAGGCAATCCACTCACCTCAGCCTCCCAAAGGCGTGGGATTACAGGCTGAGCCACCGAGCCCGGCTGGTCAAATTTTAAAAATCCTTTTTTCCCCCCAAAGTTGGGGAATAGAGCACATTTACATTCATTGATATATTAGACATGTTGGTTTTATATTTCTCAGACTCCTAAAGCCCACGCTGTATTAATTTCTCTTCCACATTTAAATATATGCAGTGTTCACCATCAAGTGGTTTTTTTCAAAATTCTCCGTTTATATTTTAGTAATTTCCTCAAAAAGAACTCTTGGGAACAATGATCCCTCAATTCCTTTCATGTTGAAACTATTTGTAGTTTTTAAATTTGAAGGGCAACTTGGATGGACATGATATTCTTGGCTCACACATTCTTTCCTTGATTTCATGTAGTTATTAATCTACTACTTTCTGGGACTTATCATTCCTATAGAAATATCTAATGCAAGACAGACATTCTTCTTTTTAAGTGACTTTTTTTTTCTGGCTTCCAAATTAAGTCTCTTTTTATCTTTAAGGTCTGATAACCCACCTAGGATACGACTTGGTTTTGAGTATCTGAGTCATTTGATCCTAGTACACAGTTTGTGTCCTTTCAATAGATAAGTCAAGAAATTGTCTCTTATTTGAGGAAAGCTTCATAAAATGATCCCTTTAAGTATTTGTTATACTTTGGTCTCCTCCCTTAAGGACCTGCTGCTCCAATTATGTGTTTGTTGGACTTTTTTTCCCCCTGTCTTCAGTATCTGTCATTGGTCTCTCTCATTCTCTTTTAGATTTTCATTTTTATTATATTTGTTTTTCTCATTTCTTTTTTTTGTTTGTTTGTTTAAGAAAGCAGGATTTATTGAGAGGACAGAGAAGCTCCCACAGTGGGAGGGGAACCAAAGGGGTTGCCTTGTTTTTCTCATTTCTGCACTCTGTGTCCCCTACTGTGTTCCCATGTGCGCTATCCTCCCATATGACTTTTTTCTATTTTCCTCCAGTTCTACCATTTCCTATTTTATTACGTCTTTTTGTGTCTTCATCCCTTCCCCAAGTTTTTCACTCCTGCTCTGTACTCTTCCTTCAATATTGTTCTGTGAAATGGCAACATTTTTCTCGGTGGGGGGAGGTCCAAGAGAAAAGAGATTTGCTGCTCTTTTTTATTTGATTTGTTTCTAGTTTTTGCTTATAATGTACCTCTGTGTCCATGCTATGCCAATTTAAAAATTTTTCTTTTTTGGTTAATCTGCTTTAATGAGTTGGATTTTGGGGGCTTGAACTAGTAGGCCCCTGGGTAAGAGACTTGGATGTGGGACCCGGGTGTCTTTTCTTTGTTACAACCCATGGAGGCAGAGTGCTTTTAGCAAAAATGGCTTGTGTGGGCTACTCTAGGCAGTCCCACTTCACATGTTTCACTGAATCAAGCCAGAGTGGGGAGAGCCTCTGCCTCCAGCCTTGTTCACCTCTTTCAGCACTGGCCGGATTCATGAAGGGTAAAGCGTTTGTACTGCAGGGTGAGCCCCTCGCCCTCAGTGAGTTCCTTTTCGCTACATCTCCTGAGGTGCCGTGCTGGCCTTTGTACACTCTCTGCACTTGTCACGCTTTCTTGTGCAACTTTTACCTGGTCTCAGCTGTTCGGCTGCCTTTCTTCACGTTCCTGGGCTGCAGATTCCAACCCTGAGTTTTGTTGAACGTGGGATTTGAGAGTTGTTTTCTCTCATTTTCCTGGTTGCTCTTGTGTAATTTCCAGGAGAAGATCTTGACTTATATAGCCATACGGTTTGTGCTGGAAGCGAAGAGTTTTTGTTTGGTTTTTAATTATAAGTTATATTTTACAATTAAAGTATAAAGATTGATAAAGATGCCACCGTACTGCGAAGTTGCTCGATGTTTACTTTTCTTTATCCCATCATCTTTGGCTTGGCTTTTAAAGTGCTCACCTGTCCATTGCCAGCTTCATTCCACTTTAATCTCCCTCATCTATTTTATGTTTCTTTTAAATTGTATGGGATTTTTAAGGGCTACTTCAATAGTAGCTTTTATTTTTCTATACTCTTATTCACTTTGTCCTCTCTCATTGACATTTCCTCTCTAACCCTTGCCAATTCTTCCCTACCTCCAAGATTTTTATCAATTAAAATGCCATCTGGGCTTCAAGACCTACCTCAAATAGTGCCTCATTCTTAAAGCTTTTCCCCTGATCTCTGCATGTGTTTACTACACTTGACCTTGTGTAGATGACTTGGGGGCTGGGTCTTAGTGCCCGTCTTAGTGCCTTTGGTCTTCTGGTTGTTTGGGTGCTTTCCACCAGTTGGGGAAAACCTGTGGCCAAGCACAGAACGTTGTGCATAATATGCCTTTAATAAGCATTTGCTTAAGTGAAAAACTATGCAAAAGGCCAGAATTATTTTCCCAGAGGCATGGCGCCATTTCCTTCTACTTCTCACTGATGCACAATATAACCATTCATGGAAATAATTCAGCTCTTCTTTTTTCTGAACCCACTAGTCCCTGCAGATGTGATTGTAGATGTACTTGTTTATTCATGCAGACAGTCAAATTGTGTTTTGATTATTTTAATTGTCTTATTTCAATACAGCATAATTTTTTCACTTTTTAAAAATGAGTCCTTGATAGCTGTTAAGTAGATTAAAAAACAAAAATGAAAATTACAAGTTTCTGCAATCCGCTGTCCCCAAGTGGTGAATCTCTATTGTGATATATACCTTAAAATACCAAACTATTAAAACTTAACTTTTAAATCTAAATTGAAGTAAAGGGTATGGCAGAAGTTTAGAAAACATTTCTCCAAATACACACTCTGTGTTTTTGAAACATCAACATTTGAAGGAAAAAGTAAAACTTGAGAATTTTCTCCCCGCTATTCTGTGTAACTGTGTCTCTTACCAGATGTAATTTACATGTCATTTTCTCCATCATTTTGTAGCCTTGAAAGCTGTATTCAACGAGAAAAACCTGTTCCCCAAAGAAATTCTGGATCATGAACGAAAAGCTAAGCAATTATGTCAAGAAACAAGTCATGAAGTGAAGATAAAAAGAAGCAAGAATAAATTATAATTGAAAAAATTCATTGTTACATAAAGTACACATATAAAGTGAAGAAAAAAGTCTAGAATGCTGCCTTTTCCTTTTTTTACACTTGAACTTCATGAAGTTTTGTCTTCATAGGATGTCTTAGTGCTGCTTTATCTGTCGTCTTCCACTTTCTCCATATTCTTAGTGAGAGAAAGATTGGACTAGGAGGAGGCAGTATCAGTTAGTATCTACTCTCAAGTGTTTTGCTATGAAACATTTACAATTTTGGAACAAAATATTACAACAGTTGTCCTTCTGTAGACAAACATTTTTGGTCAGTTTTCATTGTAAAACCTGTATGGAAATATATGAAAAGTACTGACATGGTGAGTGTCTAGAAATTTCAATAAGAAAATTGTTTCCACTTCTTTACACTTTCTAGGTTTGTTTTTCTTAATTTTTAATTTTAAAGATATGGGGTACAATTCAGGGTTAAATACAGATGTTCATTATGCAGGTACCCTTGTTGATGAGGTATGCCCCCCCACCCCCAGCAGAATCCCACTACTGCCAATCCTGCCTCCTGCCACCGCCCCCTCCCACCGGCAATTTCCCACTACTGGCAATCCTTTTTTTTTGAGTTGGAGTCTCACTCTGTCGCCCAGACTGGAGTGCAGTGACCACTCCCGGCCACAGCAGCCTTGACCTGCTGGGCTCCGGCGATCCTTCCGCCTCAGCCTTCCGAGTAGCCAGAATTACAGGCGCGCACTACCACGCCCGGCTGATTTTTTGATTTATTGTAGAGATGAGGTCTTGCTGCCCAAGCGGGTCTCGAACCCGCGGGCTCAGGCAATCCACTCACCTCAGTCTCCCAAAGGCGCGGGATGACAGGCTGAGCCACCGAGCCCGGCTTGAAAGTATTTCAAGGTGAATTATTTTTAAAAAATTCAGAGTTGCTCTTGGACAAAGGATTTTTTCGGATGGTTAAGCAGTAGCTGAGTAACTCACAGAAATCTTGTGGAGAAATCTTGCACAGTGTGGGAGGTTTGATTGAATAATCCATCATTTCAAACTCAGAGCATATGATTTATGCATCAGAGACCAGTGACAGCACAGTGGAGGGAATTGGAGCCACATTCCCAGGAATTTAGAGGGCTGTTAAGATGTTAAAGAGAGCCGGGCTCGGTGGCTCAGCCTGTAATCCCGCGCCTTTGGGAAGCTGAGGTGAGTGGATTGCCTGACTCCGCAGGTTCGAAACCCGCCTGGGCGGCGAGACCTCATCTCTACCATAAATCAAAAAATCAGCCGGGCGTGGTAGCGCGCACCTGGAGTTCAGGCTCCTTGGAAGGCTGAGGCGGAAGGATGGCCGGAGCCCAGCAGGTCGAGGCTGCGGTGGCCGGGAGCGGCCACTGCACTCCAGTCTGGGTGACAGAGTGAGACTCCAACTCAAAAAAAAAAAAAAAAGATGTTAAAGAGGTGGGATGTGGGCACCAAATAATTTGCAAAGGCGACCCCCAACACCCCGCCGAGTCATCATTCATCCATCACCTAATTAGTGAAGGCATGTGCCAGAGACTGTTTGAGATATCCAGGATTCACATGTAAATTCAGTGTATTTAAGGATACACTTCTGCTTTTGACTTTCTGGAATGAAGTCACATAAAATGTAGCAGTTTGTTAGGTAAATACGAAATGAGACCATTATTTTTTTTGGTATAATTTTAAAATTCTCTTGCTAGACATATTCTGCGTCTTACCCTTGGGGATGACTTTGTTTGACATGATTAGCCTGAGACAGTCTGGCCCATACAGACAGACCTCCTTTCTATAACCTGCTGTGTGTGCATGCGACTGTGCTGTGTGCAAACCAAAGCCCTTCCTTAATTTGCGTCGGGGCCTCCTCTGGGAAAGGAATTAGCAGGAGCTGTCTCACAAGCATGTTTCATGAGAAAAGATCTTTTAAAGGCATGAAAGTTTCTTTTAATGCTACTGTTTTGGCTAATTTGATCAGGAAACACACAAAAAAAGAGAAAACAAGACATGTATTTAGTTGTTATGTCTCACTCCTCTTCTGTATCTTGCAGCATCTAATCACATTAGGCAGGCAGCAGGGTCTCACCCATCAACCGTTAATAGAACTGAGAACATTGCAAACTATTTCTGAAATTAACATTTATACTCCATTATTTAAGACCCATTTTTCCACAGTGAAAGGCGCTTGTCACATTAAAACAAGATGTGTTGTGATTTTCAATTGGCTACCTTGTTTGTATTATGAAGATTTACACTAACTATAATTTAACCTTTTCCAGTTTCAGAACATTTCCTCTTCTCACTCAAAATATATGGAGCAAAGTGGCAGGTAAAAATTGCCTGAAATAGATTCACGCTTAAATGAAACTTTAAGTTCTTTATTGATGATAGTATTTGCTTGCATGCTTTTAAACTTTGGAATTAAGTGCATTTTTACTTTTAAAAAAACGTAAAATGTTTAGAAAAGTGCCGAGATCATGACTTTCACCACTTGCTTTTGTTTCTCTCTATATTTCCAGGTTTATACTTTCCAGTGGAATAGTGATCGTGCTCAACTGTATGCCAAGACACTTTGGCTATCATTAATGAATATTTTTTTCCCCTATTTTCTAGCAGAATAGAGTCGTTGAAAGACCAGATCTTTGAAGATGTTGAAAAGGTTTGCAGTAATTTTTAATGGACAGTTATGGGATCTTTACTGTCAAGCAAAAGAGCCTAAGACAGGGAGAAGAAATTTATGGCTTGCACTTTTCATTCCCCAAGAGACGGGAGAATGATCATTGTATTTGAACTGCTCTAGTATAAGGTCCTTACAGAGCAATTTCATTAGAGGATCTTGGTGGGATAGAGCAGCTGTTTCTGCCCTTGGACGGGGAAGTAATGGCCTGCCTGTGTCTGGATAAATCACAGTGCGATCTGAGTGGTGTACAGACACAATGATGTGGTGGCCGAGGGTTCCGGTGACAGATGCGCTGGTATCACGGCATGGGCAGAGGCGTGTTGACTGAATGACAGTCCTGAAAGTTCAGCCTTATTATTTAGGTATCGCAATGTAGAACAAGGAGCAAGATGGTGCTCTTGTGTTGTGCAACTGTTTTTGGAAAATTATCTCTAACTGTTGAAGCTCTACTAGAGCTTGCTTCTGTTAGGGTAAGTCATATTAGAATAAAACCCAAGACTGAGAAAACATTTGGACGCCTACATGGGAGTTCAAAAATCGTAGCTAATTGGTACAGTATGTATGGCCTAAAATGATCCTGAGGCTTCTCAGTCTATTGGAAAGCTCTATATGGCCCTGCCAGGACACTGAGAGATGTTAGCAGGGTCCCTGATACAGTTGCTTAACATGAATTCCTTTTAAAGCTATCTACTCTCGGGAGTGTAAACTAGTGCAACCTCTGTGGAAAGCAGTGTGGCGATTCCTAAAAGCTCTAAATATCTACCTCCCATACGACCCCGCAATTCCCCTACTGGGAATACATCCGGAAGAACACAAATCACTCTACAAAAAAGACACCTGCACACGTATGTTTATCGCAGCGTTGTTCACAATAGCAAGAACCTGGAAGCAACCATGCTGCCCATCAAAAGAGAACTCGATTAGAAAAATATGGTACATATACACGATGGAATACTACGCAGCCACAAAAAAGAACAAAATCATGAATTTTGCAGCAACCTGGATGGAACTAGAGTCTATAATACTGAGTGACCTCTCACAGAAACAAAGGTCCGAGTATCACATGTTCTCACTTATATAATGGACCTTGAACATCCAATCTAATACTATAAGAAAATGACTGACAGTAGTGGGAAACTATGGGGGGGGAGATGGGATTAACGAGCAAATATCTGTCTGGGGATGGGGAAGCACCTCTAATCAACAGTGTGCCTGAATGAAACGTATTTGTATACCTAACCCTTAACTGTACCCCACAACATCATAATAAAAAATATTGATTGGAAAAAAAAAAGCTATCTATTCTCATTTCGTTTCTTTTACATGAGTTTACCAGAAATAATAAGTTTATATTATTAAGTTAGATTAAATAATATTAAATTAAGTTTGGTGATCTATAGTGACATATTTGTTGAATTAAAACTAGACTGAATTCTCCATTTCTCTTCTCGGAGGCTACTGGTGAATAATACAACGTGATTAATATCTGATTGACATTGAGGCGGTGGATGTGAGCTGCAAAAATGAGATAAAAACCCTTTAAGTGATGTGTCTATTTTTTTATTAATGACCTTTTTGTAGAGAAAATAATGTAGAGTTTTAAAAGTAACACCAACGTTCATTATTCAATTATCTGTGGTTTGTAGTATTATCCTGATATAATTTGGTAAATCAGTAACCTTCATCTGGTCTTTTGTCAAAACAAGGAATATATTTCTTCAATATCTACTCTTCCTTCTGAAGATCCAAATAGGCCTTGTATCCACAAGAAACTCCTCTATTGTATAACTTAATGAATTGTTGAGAACTCTATCAATGCAGCAGCAATCTGTCTCTGCATTCTGGGCTCGATTTAACTTCTTTTTCTCATTGGCATTCTGAAATATTTATGAAAGGGTACATTGGGAATCCTGTGAGAAACAAAAATAACTAATTACCAGCCAATTTACAGCCACTAGCATATTCTTTCAAATTATGTTTCTACTTTTAAAATAAGTAAAATAATGGATAGTATAATAATATAAGCTTGATGATTTTTAAAAACCCTATAATTGTCTTCTTTCCCAAGTCTTGCATATTTCATCAATCGATCATTAACCTGATCATGTTAGCTCTTTTATACAAATGTAGTGAACACCTGCTTTAGTTCCAGAGGAATTAATCAAGCAATGTTCAAGATAAATAGAGTTGGCCTTGACTAATCAGGTGTTCATGTACAAGTGTTTCCCAGCAAGCACATTTCAGTTGTTACATTCCAGCAAATAATCAGAAGCCAATTTGAGGTAAGTGTCTTAAAATTAAATAGCTTTTACATGAAGTACGCATGCAATAACACTGGCTCTGAGTGTTTAGTAATGCAGGGGAATGCGTGTCCATTTACATCTATGTAGAAATCATTTGAATTTATTAAATTAACATACTGCTTTCATTCTCCTTGAATGATTTCTCCATGAAGTGGAAGATCAAATTCTTATGGGTTGCTTAGTTCACCAGTGCTTTGCGCTTTCTGATGAGATATGGTCCAGAAACCCAGTGAGGTCGGTGAACTTTTAAAACTAATTATTTAAAACAAAACGAAAGAAAAGAACTAATTATTTGTCTAAGGTTTTAATTTGTTAAGTGTTTCCAAAAGTTCTGGAGAAAATGGCACTTAAAGAATATAAATGTTGATGATTAAGATTGTTAACAATAATGAGAAGACAACTCTAATGCCAAGATTCTACTACAAGGGAAAAACTGCAAGTTACATAATATTGTTTACTATTCTCATGTAAATCAAGTACATAAAGATGTATTTAATGAATTTCCATTTGATGACTTAAAAGTGCTAATAACTTTGACTTCTTACATACCTACACACAGATATTTTGGTCAAAAGTCTTCTGAGAAATTGAATATATCGTAACATAATCATATGTAGACATTATTTTGCATGTAAAACTTCTCTAACTTCCTGATTTTCCCTCTTGCGGTTGTCTCACTCACAGCCTTATGTACTGGCTTAATCCTTGGTAAAACATGTGCTAGAGAGCATTGCCTGTCTTTGCAGCTTACCAATACATTACTTTCTAACAACACTTTGGATTGCCTTGGAAGGTTTTTGTGCTTTGCAAAACGTATATCTAAACGAATAGAGTTTAACTAAGTGTAGTTTTAAAAGAATTAGAAATATCTAAATAATTACTCCATAGCTTAGCTGGGAAGACTATTTGTTAGTAATCTTTACATATTAGTTGTTAGTGATCCTTAACCCATTTATGGGTCATGACAGTCCCCTCAGTGATCTGCAAAGTGTATGTTTCCACTTAAGGCTAACAGCTCACCCTCTGGAGGCTTTACCCCGATGAAGTGTTACTTCCTAATAACCTACTGATGAGTTGTTAGAAGTTACTAACATATCATTTGTAAGGTTAAATTAGTGTTACTAAAATTTATAAGACCTCAGCGTCAATATTCTACCAAGAAAGTGGTAATATTGCAAAACTAATTCTGCTCAGTATATAATCGGATGGTTGAACTTCCTGCAATTTTAATGGAGAGCATTTTAATAACATAGCATTAGTGTAGTTAATTAATTTTTGTTTTCAGTTGTTGCTATTATTTTTGTTAATTTGTGAAATTATTGTTTGATATTTTAATTTCTTTTTCTTTGGTTATTATTACACCATTTATATTTGATTGTCATGCTGTTTTGTGTGTGTGTGGGGGGGGGTTTACTTTTTTTTCTGCATTTTATTTTTCTTCCTTTGGAAAAGTACAAGGTGGGCTTTGGAATATTTTGTTCTAAGAAAGAGTGTGAGCAAAATTGTTGTAAAAAGGTAGTCAGATTACCCAGTTACTTTAGAATACATTGCTTTCTTCATATTATAAGTCCTGAAACACACTGGAGTATGTTCATTTTTATTCCATGCCTCCTCTTAATCTATAATCCATTTTAGAGTGCTTCTCATAATGTCAGATTTTCAGGTAACCCATTTAAAATCATGGAAAAAGGCAGAAAATGTTTCATAGAACAATTTGGAGATGGCATTGTCATTGATAACGTCTCAATATTGTGATTTCTCCTTTGATTTTTTTTTTAAACCGCAAATATATTTTGTGCTAATTCTTGAAGTTATGTACAAAACGCCTTTCACATATTGGCTATTTCTCCTAAGAGATGATGCTTGGTCAGAAAACTGGCATTGCACAGAGTCTTCTTGTGGTAGCATGTTATGCTGATATAGAAAGTTCTAACAGGTAGGAAGTTTTTTGTTGAGCTCAGTGTGGTAAACTCTATTTTAAAAATGAATACATTTTGAATTAGACAGTGCACAGAAGTCGGAATGGATAAGATCTTGCTTTGGAGTATCCTGTTGGCTTTCGCTGGAAGTCAAGACTCCAGACCCCTGGCTCAAGAAAATACCGAATTTGCAGTGGGTCTTTATCAAGCGGTTTCCTTATCTCATAAGAACAATGTTGTTTTTTCTCCCCTTGGAATAACTTTGATTCTTGGAATGATTCAACTGGGAGCAAAAGGAAAAGCCCAACAGCAGCTAAGAGAAACTTTAAGACTACAGGAAACTTCTGCGGGTGAGAGTTTCACACATGCTTATTTATATGGGATAAAGTATAGCCAAGTTGATTTTTAAAATACTAAGGAGAAGCTCAAGGTCATAGAACCTTAATAAGTGAAAAATGTTATGGAAAGTATAAAAGTATAATAAAATGAAGACTTGTACACGTAAGTAGTTTTCATTCATTTATCGTTGTCTCATAAAGGTGTTAAAAAAAGTAATTTATTAAGCAACTGACATCTATACAGATATAAAGTTTTGTATATGTCTGTATATTTTCTTCTGGTCTGTTTGCTTAGGCAGTTTTAAATAATTGAGATTATATACATACATATAAATTTTTTCACTATCATTTACTACGCTGTGATCACTTTCCCATATCATGCAACTGATCCAGCAAAAGGTGAAAGATTTCTACTATTTGAAGAGAAACCAGAGTATCATGCAACTGATCCAAAATAGGATTTTTAATTATTATATTTTATTGACTTTTACAGAAATACCATTACTTGCTTAACCTTTCTTCAATAAGTTGTTTCTAAAACAACTTATTAAACTGATTATAAGCCATTATGAAAATAATGCACTCTCAGCCACAATGAGATCCCCCCAAAACATTAACTTATGCATGTTAAGAGTTTATTTGTTAATAGTTTTAAAAGAAAATTGGGGGAAAAAGAATATAAATAATTCATCAAAGATCTTTGTGCTTGTGGGTGGTGGTGGTTTTGGAGTCTCTCAAAGGATATGCCCTTTTTGAGGACATCTCCTTTGAAGGAGTTGATGCTTGCTTCCCTGGTGGTCCCATGCTCCAAATTTCCATCACGGTTTTACTGCTAAACTTTTACATTACTGTCAGGTAATGTGGCCTAAACCTCAAAGTAGACCATTGGATTTTTGATCTGAGAATTTAGTTGCTATAAATATTTTCAGTATATTTTTTTCTTAGCACAGAGCAGCTCTATGGAGAAGTTTGTCTCTCTTAAAATTCAATTTACAAGGTTTTATTTACTTCATTTTAAAAGAGATAATTTTGTACAGAAAGGAAGTGAGTGATAGCAAAGTTAATTACAGGAGCTTTCCTTTGTAAATGATACGTAATGAAGCCAACGTATTTCAGATTTGATCTTGATTAATTTCAGCAAATCCCACACCATCACTCCTAGAAACACTTAAACCTGCTTTGAAAAGTGATAGAACATTGACAAAGATGCGTAGATTAGAGCATTCAAAAACTAAATTACTTTAAATGGACACATCTTACAGAGAATCACAGGAGTTTACCAACCGAGGACCGCAAACGTCATGGTGGTGGTTGTAACCGGACATTTCTAGTATATCAGTCACTGTTCATACGCTTGATGCATGTCCTCTCATTGAACGTTCATAATTACTTTGTGAGGTCAACATAACCCTGCTATGCATATGAGGAAAATGAGACCAAGAAAGATTAAGTCATTTGCCCAGCACACCTTCCAAAAATGATTCAGTGAGGCTTAAAGACATAAGAGCAAACGTGAAAATCTTTGACATTTGAATACGTAAAACAAAGTCTGCCAAACTAGTGTTCTGTGATGCCTGGGGAAGGGAGAGAGAGAGCCAGCAGATTAAAGCGCTAAAGGAAAAGAAAGTCAGGAAGGGAGAAAACATAAGAAAAATAAAATCTAGAAATTTAAAAAAGGGAAGTGAAGAAAGAAAGGAAAAGGAGAGACGGAGTTAAGAAGGGGAGGCCGGGCTCGGTGGCTCAGCTGTCATTCCAGCACTTTGGGAGGCCGAGGCGAGTGGACTGCCTGATCCCGCGGGTTTCAGAGCCACCCGGGCAACTTGGAGAGACCTCGTCTCTACAGTAAATAAAAAACTAGCCGGGCATGGTGGCGCATGCCTGTAGTTCCGGCTACTTGGGAGGCTGAGGCGGAAGGATCGCCGGAGCCCAGCA